TTCAATTTCAGTTTTTTAAAATTATTCATAATCACTAGCACCAGTTTTTTTCCTTTACATGAAAAATACCTTCCGTCTATAACTTAAAAAACTAAAGTTGTAGTATTCAGTCGATATTCCTTTCTCTTTCGTGTTTCAGTTTTGTTCAGAGCTCGATTAAATCCACTTAAAAAAATGTACGATAATTCGTCTCCTTGACGATTTTTTTACGGCAATATGCTGTTTTTAAAGCCATCAATCAGCCTCGAAATGATTACAGATATCCATCCAAAACACTTCAAGGATTTCCTACTTACAGCTTAATGAAGCCTGCCTAATCATACACACACACACGCACACACACACACACACACACACACACACACACACACAACACACACAACATATATATAAAAATATTATATATATATATATATATATATATATATATATATATATATTATGTATGTATGTGTGTAATATATATATATATAATATATATATATATATATATATATATAATATATATATATAATACCATATTTATTGTATATATTATAATATATTATATACATAATATATGCATATAATATGTATTAATATATATATATTCAATATATATATATATATATATATATATATATATATATATAATACCACATACATGACGACATCGCACACACACACACACACACACACACACACACACACACACACACACACACATTCACATAATATATATATATATATATATATATATATATATATAATATATAGTATATATATATATATATATATATATATATATATTATGGCAGGATTTATATATAGTTATAATATATATATATATATATATATATATATTATATATATATATATATTATATATTATATATTTATGTATATATATATATATATATATATATATATATATATATGATATATATGATTATATAATGTGTGTGTGTGTGTGTGTGTGGTGTGTGTGTGTGTGTGTGTGTGTTAAGAAAACGTTGGAAGAGGGTTTGTGTTTTCAGTATCTATTGTTATATTATACGATCTGAAGAATGAGAAAAGTTGCTAATGAAATACCTATGAAAGAATATCAACCACTCCTGCCACTAATAATATAGACGATAGTAATAACGACAACAATCATGTCAATGAGGATGACACATTCGAAAACATTTAACCTGAATTCACACCATTTCCTTTTGTTCATCTCTCTCAACCTTTCAGAAGTCAGAGAACGTTTTCTGAACAATGCTCAGGTTTCTGAAGTACGTGTTCAGCTTTCTCTCCCTGACGACATTGCTGTATCTCTGTCGCGTTGGCAAAGATCATGTCGCTGTGGATAAAAGCTCTTTATTAGCAGCTGGAGAGGGAAACCCGAGTGCTCTGCCTGAGAAGGTTTTTCGTCGTGGAGAAATCTATGCTGTGAGGGAAATGTAAGTGAATTTTTCTCGTCTGTGTTGTTGAGAAATGAAAATATATCGAAATGTTTATTTTCATTCATGTTTGCGCTGTCGTAGTAGGTTATGTCTGGATATTCTAATTGACAGGTATTCTGACTGATTTGCATTTCCCTCGTAAAGGTGTAATTGATTTTTTAACATCATTAATAGTGTTTTTTTTTTTTTTTTTTTTTTTGCTGCATTGATTTTTCATAACGATGATGATGATGATGGATATTATCATTATAATCACCATTACTATTATTGTTGCTGCCGTTATTGTTGTTCTCGTTATCGTTATAGTTACCATTATCATTATCATCACTGTTACCAACGTCATCATCATCATTATTACCATCACCAACGCCACCTTCACCATCACCATCACCATCATCATCATCATCATCGTTCGACACCCCAAGATGCCCTGTCTTCCCCAGCGAAGTGAGCCCCAAGGAGCGCACGAAGCGGCCAGGACTCCGAATGCTCTCGCGTCTGTATGCTCACCGTCCGTCAGTCGAGGCCGATTACCCTTCGACCTCGCCTGACCTGATGCCTTTTATCGAGACGTTGAAACGAGATATGACTGTGAAAGGAGTGACTAAGTATCCCTGGGCTTTGGCAAGGAAGGTAGGTAGGGCGTTGTAAAGTGTTTTCGCTGCAGGTAGCCAGTTGCTGAGAGTGTGCTTAGGATGGTACCGTACTATAGAATCGATTTTGATGTCCATGTTGACAAGTATGGGTGATGATAAAGTACTATGGCCAGTTGGTGGGTGGAAATGTGCAGCTGGATGAGTTAAATGCTCAAATTTCGATTAATTTCTTTTCGCTTTGTGTTCTAGTAATTCAGGAATGGCTAAGATTTTTGCGGCGAGCCAACTCACGAATGAGAGTAGATACCACACGTGATCAAGGTCTTTTCGCTTAACGTTCTCATGCGCCAGGATGGGCTCTGATTCTAACGGTTTCCAACGGTTCCAGTGGTCCAACTCCAAGTCTCTGATCCCCGAATCGGCCCCTGGCTTGGGAGACGTTCTGGCCGCCATGGCCACTGCCCCGATCACAGCCGCTGACATCTGTGACGACGGAACGCAGGTCAAGATTCTGCTGAAGCTGCAAGGATACCAGAAAGTTTTGTTTAAGCCTAAAAGGTCAGCTACTAAAGCGTTAAAAATGTAGCGCTTAGGCCATTACGTGAGATGGATGTAGCGAAGGCTTGAGAGCGTGTCGTTTTGAAGGTGTAGTTTCTCATAAGGAAAATTCCCGGGTTATCATTTACTTCACGGCGTTCTTGCTAATGAGATGATGCATCTTGGATTAATCGTGTGTGCGTGTGTATCGTTTTTCCTTTCTCTCTTTCCTTTTCCAATACATGTAGGTTTACAATCTTCGTACTGAAACAAATGTGATCTTGGATTCCTTAAAGTGCTTACGAAGAGGAGAATGATGAATTACATGGAAAAAAAACACTACTTGGAAATGATTCAGAGAAACTTATTCCTGGAAAAGTTTATTTGCTCACTTCCAACCAGTGTTTAAAGCTGCTGTTAACAGAATCTCGAACTGATTACAAGAATAAATTTAGCGTCGCGGCTTTACGCTGACAGATGTTTGTGTACTTGTTTCGATGTCGTTTCAGCTATCCTCGCACAGCAGTCATCTACGGCAAAAACTCAGGCTCGGATCGGCACTTCGGAGAAATCGCCGCCTTTAACGTTGGGAGATTACTCGGGCTTCAGACGCTGCCCGCTGCCGTCGGTCGCAAGGTCCTTCTGACGGAGGAGGTCATCCCCGTGTCGTCGCGGGAACTTGCGGAAACATTTTACGTCAATGAGAGTTCGTTTGCTCGTTTTGCTGTGTCGGGTTCTGGTTTTCCGGCGTGCTTCGCTGTCCCTTCGAGTGTCTGCTGAATGTGCTTCCTTCTATCTTGCTAAATGTACTGGAAGAGGCCATGTACCCTTTTAATAGCGCTACAGACAAACGCTGGACGTTTAATCTCTATATTGTTAGTAATCTCATAATAGCTTTTAATACACACAAAAATACAACACATTAAGGTAATTAAATTTTAAAAAGTTATTTTTCTAATACAATTGGGAATATGCCTGCGGAGGGAATATGAAAGATAAGAGGCTAAAGTTATAAGAGGAGGGAAGTAGAATTAGTAGGATTTCAAGAATAAAGTACGGCTTGTTCGGTGAAAGGCAGGCTACTTTGATTACCACGGTCACTGCAAAGTAAAACAAACAATAGTAGAGGCGTGGTACTTTTCTTTACACACACACACACACACACACACACACACACACACACATATATATATATATATATATATATATATAATATATATATATAATAATATATGTGTGTGTGTGTGTGTGTTGTGTGTGTATGTATACACACACACACACACACATATAAACCACGTTGAATAACGACAGCTGCATCCTCCTCCCCGCAGAGAACCAGACCTGCCTGCACGCCCGCTGCCCGCGCTGCAACCCCAACAGAATCAGCTGCTCCGACCACAACGACGCGATGGAAGGCGCCGTCATCATGTGGTTGCCAGAGCATTTGCGTGTCTCGGAGAAGATGTTTGCGTGGCGGCATTATTACAAGAGGAAAGAGCTTGTCGAGTGAGTCGGGAAGGGGTTTTAAGGGTGCTTCGAATCTCGTGTTCGTCTTGGGTGTAATGGGACTGGTTTTACTTTTCTTTGTTAGTTTGTTTGGGGGAGGAAGGGTGTCCCGAATCTTGTTTTGTGTCTTGGATTTAAGGGAATTGAATTTTCTTTTCTTGGTTGGTAAGTATGAGGATGCTTCGAATCTCGTGTTGTCTTTGATTTGATAGATTTGATTTACTTCTCTGTGCTGGTGGGTTTAGTGAGTATAAAGGTGTCCTCGAACTTCCTATTTTCATTCCTTCTCTTTGTTTTACTGATATATTGAAAATTACTCGACAGTTTAATGACCGTTCTCAATCTGGAATTTGCATGATTAGTCCGAGCCAAATGTAAGATTATTATTTATAACCTTAAAGAAATACCGGATACCAAATGAATGACAGACATATGGGGTATAAATACATCCATATATTCTTCTTTTTCACTGCCTTTTCCCGCTTCTGTGCGAGGTCGGCCCGATCCCTTCACTCATTTTCTTATGTTTTTTTCTTTTAAATTGCTTGTTATATATATATAAAAAACGTAAGAAAATAAGTTTTTTTTTCTTTTAAATTGCTTGTTGTATCTTCCATCCATCTTCTCTTTGGCCTCCCTCTACCCCGTCTTCCACCCATAAAGACACCCATATATACCATCACATAAACACACGTCATTCCGATCAACAGATGGGAAAAGGATGAACATTTTTGCGACTCGGTTTTGCACAGCGATCAAGGGAAACTGCTGCTGGACTTGGTCGACATGTCCGTCCTGGATTTCCTGATACAGAACACGGACAGACACCACTACCTGCAGGCGACTGAGGACCCCAGTGCGTCCGTTTTACTTGTCGACCATGGCAAGAGGTTGGAGAAATTCATATATATTTATATATATATACATATAGA